AGCCAGCCAGGAAGTTGGTCTCTGGGCAGGTGCTTGTCCTGGCTGGCTGGAAAACAAAGGCCGCCGCTGGATATTTGCCTTACCACTGCAGCAGGAGCAGGAGGAGGAGGAGCATAACCAGGAGGAGGAGGAGCATAACCAGGAGCTGGAGCAGCTGCTATTCTCCTCTTGGGGGGACGCAAAACAAAGCCTCGGTAAACAGCCGAGCAATGTGATTAAAAAATAAAGGAACACAGCACAACAATGGGAAATGGAGCAGACGTACACGGTGGGAAAATATCAACCAAATTGGCCTTTAGTTTCATTGTTTTGCCCTTTTCCATTTGGTGAGGGGGAAAAAACCCTTGGAGATTTCACAAAAGTATGCCATCAAATATTTCATTTCGAAAGCGGTTATAAAAAAGAGGAAACTGCAGACCTTCGAACTTCCCTAACAACTTTTTTTTATGGTCACTACAAAATTATTTAGGAAATAACCAAGATTAACCTTTTATTGTGTTTTAATTTTCATGAGTGTTGTTAAAATTTTTAGCAGGATTTAATTGTTAAAAAATAAACATTTGAGACAACTTAAAAATATTTCCTTTTAGCTTCCTTTGCTAGTTTAAATATAAACGTTTAAAAACATATGAAATAACATTTAAATAATGATTTAAAATGTCTTCTAAATTCCTTTTAAAACTACAACATTTTATTGATCGTTAACCAAAACTAGAACTATATTTGATTTTTTTCTCAGGCTTTTATATATTTTATATTTATATAAATATAATAGACCTAAAATTACTAACAACTTAAATTTGATTAAGTTAATTTCCATTATTTAATTAATATTTTTTTGGCACTTCCCTTTGTTGAAAACTTTAAGTGTTGCTTTAAGATGTCTTTCGTTTTCAATAAAATCCTTAAGCGGTCAATGACTTTTGGCTTAAAGTAATTGAACTATTTTTAGACCACTTGTAAAATATATAAGCATTTATTTTCTTTTGAAAAATCATTATAAAATGCTATTAAAACTTCATAAATAAAATAAATTATAACTACATAAATCCTGGTAGTTCTGGTTTTAATCATTTTTCACAGCCCGCTTTTAGGCACTCAAAAATATATGATGAAATTATCACTTGCCTTTAAGCACTGTAAATAATGTTAAAAAATATTGTAGGGATGCTATAAAAACACTTTTTTATTTTTATTTTGCATATACTACTATATTTTTTTCTCACTGCATTTGATGACTGCATAGTTTAAAAAAAGGACATGCCTTTCGGTTGGAATTGTGACGGGGACTCACCTCGTAGCGTGTGTCGATTTCTGGCAACTTCTCCAGGAACTCCTCGACCATCTTTCGTTGCACGTGCGCCGAGCCGAGCAGTCACACACACGCACGCACACACACACACACACACACACACACACTCCCGCACACTCGCAGCACGCACACTCTTAGCCAGGCACAAACACACGCACACTCTCACACACAGATACAAATAGTAATGAGAATCCCAAAATCAGTTGACACGCACCAAAGCGAAAGTTTCACCTCATCAATTATGAACAGTTCCTAATTGCTGCTGGCAGGTTTTATGGCTTTGTTCTACCTTATAGATAGATTTTCGTTTGTTTTACGAAACAATATCGAGTTAAAGCTGAAACACCTGTTGTGATTTTTGTAGTTGTTGTTGTTCTTGGATGTCACGCACTGAGAAATTCGTAGGTTGCTGTCCCTCAAAGGTTGTATCTGTGTGTTTACTGCTAAATTTGTTATGTTTTTTGCACTTTCCGTTTGTAGATGTCCTCTTCTGATTGATTGTCCTGGGGGGAAGGGGTGTTTGTTGCTGCTACTTTTCTGTGTTTTGTGTGTGTACTTCCTGGTCACTTGGCACTTGAATTTTTTTTGGGCGGTATTTTACGATGGTTTCTAGGAGGTTTCAAAGATGCGAAGATGCAGCGGGCGCGAAAAAAGGAAGCTGAAGCTGAACGAAAACATGTGCCAAAAAACTCCCTCTCTGCCTTGGCCAACTCCTTTTTGGACTCCTCGGTGTGTGCGAGAGACCAACAACCAACAAACGCTGCCCGTTCACTGCCGTTCAGCACTAACAACAAACTGCAGAAAAACAAAACATTTATAGCCAGGCCAGAGGCAGCAGCACCAGCACCAGCACCCGAGTCCGCGTATCCTTTCGTATCTGAACGGCCCGAGCGGGATGTTGTACTAAAAACTGGCCAATCGACAGCTGCCGAGCACCGTCACTCCATCAAATCCGATGCCGATGCGATGCTGGCCGATGATGCCGCCGCTTGGCTTCGAACAAGAAGAGTGCGGTCCTTTTGCCGGCGCCGGCGCAAGGACGATGCTTAAATGAGGGGCACACAAGTGGCAGAGCAGCAACTCCTTCTCGCTCCTGTATGTATTCCGCGATTTCTGGGGATTCCCCCTCTCGACTTGACACACATCCAAAAGCTTGCGATCCAAAAACAGCAGCCTCCAGTGGATCGCATTGGAGTGCCGAGTACCGGAGTGCCGAAGTACCATAGTACCGGAGTGGCAAGTGTGCGGAGTGTTGCATGTTGCATGTTGCCTTTGTTTTGCCAGCACTTGTAAATAATTTGCTGCTAACGAAGGCGGCGCCACTCAAAGAAGTCCGCATCTGAAGGACCCTCCTCTTGCTCTATCTGCTGCTCCTTCCATCCGCCGCTGCTCCTTCCACTTCCCCAGGATCACTAGATCTACATAAGTCGGCTAACAGTTATCATTAATCTCAAGCACAACGCACCATGACACACACCGCAATTGATTGCTGTCAGCGGGTGTGTCTAGTGTGTGCGTTTGCGTTTGCCTAGCAATTACCACAGGTAAAAACTAATGCCGGCAAGGAAAGCCCAAAAAAATATGCCCAAGGGAGGTGCACTTTAACGACACTTAAAAGCTCACGGGTCTTGGCCAGATTGAAATCTGACAATTGGATAGTTAAACAAAGGTCAATGGTAGGGAATATTTGGGGTTCGACTTTAAATTCATTAGGTAAATTAAGATTAATTTCTAGATTAATATCATATTTTATTTGTTTTTAACGAATTTTATTTTAATTTAGTCTTAAAAAATTGCTTAGTAAATGTTGTACCTATTTATATAATATTTTTTCCATAGGGTTTAACTTATGTATATATATTAATCCCTTACAGTGCAACCTTAGAAAATATATTAGTAAAATTTCAATTAAAGCTAAAAATTAAATATAGTCATATGTTAAATCTAGCAAAGTTTTTCTACTGATATATTTTGAAATAAGTAAGCATAAATAAAAAAAAAAAAAAAATTGTTTGTATACTTTTCCAGGGTATTATACATTTGGTGCGAGAAACAAATGTAATTTACAAATTTATAAACTTGGTATGAGATTTATTAAGGTAAGTTATAATTGTTTTAAACTTAAATTTACAAAAAAAAGAATAATAATAAAAATAAAATAGTTAATATATATATCGATTTAAGAATTCCAATTTATATGCAGTTTAATCATATTTTATAATTTAAAATTATTACCAACACAGAAAAGCTTTTAAAATTCCAATAAATTACCCATAATCCAATTGCAAACTGATAGGGTATAGAAAAATCAATTTACCGAAGTTAGCTTCCCTTCTTGATTAATTTCTTTAAACATTATAATATCTTACTCAAAGGTCAAGGGCGTGGAATATAAAACTATAAAATAAACTTTTCCCTAATAAATTGATTACTTTCCTACATTTTTAGACAAAAGCCGGTTATTAATCTCATATTTCAACACCAAAGTGCATTTGTGGACTTTCAGAATACTTAACAATCACCCATTATCTCGATTCCCGCTATATAAATACACAAGTTCCTGTGTTAAGCCAATCAGTGATAAATAATTCCTTAGACAGTAGTTACAGTTCAAGCACTTACCGAACCCATTGCTGCCATGAGTGTGATGTTCTATCCGTCGCTGTACTCAATGTACTCAATGTACTCAATACTTAATGGCCACCAGAGTTGAACCTGTGACCGCACCAAACGACCAACCAAGAAATACTGAGCTGCCGGGGAATACGACTAATCATAGCGGCGAAACGCAGTGCTATAATGCAACAATTGGCCGGCACACACGTCATCGCGGTGGAGTAGGTCCCGGGTAGGGTCCTTTCGTGGGAATAAAAACAATTACTTGTCAGCAGGACAGCACCCTTTACACCCTCCATGATTATCCCCATCGCAGGGCCTCTTAACCCCGAATAAGTGGCCCTTGAATGTAAATTCAACGCAATTCGACTTGGTCGTCCAACGTGGCGCTTTCGAATTAAATTCAAGTGCTTTGCTATTTGTGGTGGCGATTTTGAAGTCCTTGAACACAGCTGCTGCAGTGGGTTACCTTTTCCAAGCGCTCATTGAATTATTTACATGGCAAACAGGTGAATTAGCCGAGGTGCGGGCGTGTCCTGGTCAATTGCAAATATGACACAGGCACGTACTATATCTATGTACGTAATGAAAAGCTTTAAATTATTCACAAAAGTTCGTTTTCAATGACACTTTTTAAAAGAACCGCCACGGTTTGAGTGTTAATTACAGCTACAAGCTGATTGCTATGAAACTTGGGTTGGGACTATACTTATCTCTTTTTCTCTTTTGTGGAAAGAGAACATTGTGGAACTTGTTGAGTGAGAACAGTGTGGAACTTGAGTGAGGACAGCTTAAAAATTATTTAAATCAATTTAATTATTTATGATAACTATAACTAAAACTCTTAAATTACAAATGATGATTTTTAAAACTAAAAGATTAATAAACTATTTTCCAAAGGTGCACTCTTCTCTTGAAGATTTGCAGTAATTTATTGCAAAATAAGCGAACAAATTAAAGAATAGCACCTCAGATCTACAAATGTGATAGAAAATTATTTACTTTTTATGCCTCATTAATAAATAGTTCTTTGAGATCCGAAAGAAACCCATTAATACACAAAACACTCAAATTTCGTTTGCAATTTGTATTTGGAAATAATTTTCAATATAATTTCTGACAAACTTGAACATTTAATTAATTTCATTTAGACATTTATAAATTTCATTTGTTACAATTTTCGTTCTTGTTCATCGTTTTCAGCGTATCCTCGGACTCGTTCCCTACTTTCCATTTGATATTTCATGTTAACGTTCCTGCCTTTACTGTTCCCACTTATGTTATTCTTTAATTTCATTAAATTTATCGGTATAAATGTGTGATTTTTGCCGTCTCTGCATATCTTTTTGGCGTTACTGGAATTACTAGAATCGAAAGGATACAAACAGAGAGATGGTTAGCTACAAAATACACTTTGCGCAGTAAATAGAATACAAAATAAAGAATAATAGGTAAATATCATATAAGCGCGTACGGCACATGCCGCATATTTGTTCCTACGTATATTTTAATAAATTACTCGCTTCGTTTTTTGGGCTAAACACTTGTCCGAATTCAATATTTTTTGGTTTGGTTATATTGCCGGCCTATATATTCATATTACTACGATCAAAAAAGACTTGAGTCCTCAGTTTGTCAGCTCGCGCTCTATTTAGCCTAGCCGTGTCCCTACGTCGTTTCCTCAATTAAGTACTATGGTAGAGTTGTCTTATATGTTAAGAGTTGTGCTTAAGGTTAAACCATGTTGCGGTTGCTCTGCTCGATATCATCATCATTGTTCTTACTGCTGCTGTTGGAGTTTGGTGTTGTTGGGGTTTCTTTTGGTTGTTGGTGTTCTGGTTCTCTGTTGGTTATATTGGTGAGCGATTCGCATTGGATGTACATACATGACTATTAGAATAATGCTTAGATTAGTTACGGTTCCGTATGATACAAATGATTGTAGGCAGGTGGTTGGTGGTTCACTTTACTTGCAATGTTCCGTTGTGTACGTCCCTACAAAAAATGCTACCTATCAGTAATCAGTTAACATTATGAATAACTACAAAATAAAAACCTAAGCTTAACGAAACCCTAAAACTGAACAGCCAAAGAAACTAAACGTAATTCATTGAGTTGCCAGTCAAACTAGCTGTGGCCGGAGCTCGTCTGCGCCTCGGAAAAATTCGCATCGATCACCGCTGGCGCGATGGTGTTGGAATTGGAAGAGGATGCTGATGCTGATGCGATTGAGGAGGCGGGTGCTTTTAATGATTTGCTTTGTTTTAAACTGCGCTCGTGATCCATCACCATCTGCCAAATGCCAAATATCTCCTCAGGCGTGACAGCATGGTTGGTGAAGAGGAAGGGCGGGTCATCTAGATCGGTCGAACCCTCGAGCAACTGCCAAACGTCTTTGCTCTCCAAATAGTGAGACATCGAGGTGATTTTTGTGCCCGTCTCCTCGGCCAGGATGCCCGTGACGAGCACATCGTCCACCCAAAAGTATTTCGCCTTCTGGGCCGCCTTATACAGTCGATGGACGACATCCGAGGCGTATATGATGGCCATGCCGGGACAGTAATGCGGGTAGAAGCGGTGGGGGTACTCCTTGTAGGTCACCCGCCACTTGGACTGCAATGGAATGAATTTAAATTAGTAAGGCGGCATTAATTAAAACGTATTTTCAAGGGGTTTCGCTTTCACATATATTCTCTATCGATTTGATGTGAACCATTTCAGGTGGCCTATATCATTACATTTGTTTTTAGTAAGGCTATGACAAACCGACTTTTGTACAATTACAATTATTTAATCATTGAAAGCGCAACCCCCGATGGGACTCACCCGATAGCTTCGCTTGACCCTCGACTCCTTGACTATTCGGCAGAGCAACAGGTCCGGTTGCGCCAGAAGCTGATGCTCCGGGAACGAGGGATCCTCCATATACTTGACCAGTTGCGGCGTATTCACGAATACATCGTCATCCACCTTGACCAGCAGCTGTGCGTTTGGACAGTTCTCGGTGAACCACTTGAGACCCATCACATGCTTGTAGGTCATGTTTCGGTAGGCGTCCACAAAGTTGCCCTGGAGTATATCCCCGTAATATTTGTTCTCCCAGCCAAGATATTTCTGCCATGTGGGGGCATAATTACTGGAAACGGCACCGAGCAGAAAGATCACACGGAGCGGCGTTTGGTTTATGTATGTGCGATTCGCCCACGTACTTCGGATGAGTCTCCGCTTCTCGGCATTGTCAATAGCCGAGTGGATCAGGACCAGCGCCTTAACGTCCTTATCACAGGCTGGCTGACTGATCTGGTATTCGAAATTGGGCATGTCCATCAGGTGGGTGGTGCTCTGGCCCAGGGAAGCGGCCGTTCGCGGAGTCGTCGGCCAGGGTGTGGCCGGTCGCTCGAATGTATTGCTAACTAGGCTATCGTTAAGACTAAATGTGCGACTAGGCTGGTATGGTATTTGGTTTGGGTTGCTCCGGCCACCCCGGTTCCGTACGTATCCTCCAGCTGACCCGGCTACTGCTGCCGCTTCCGCTCGCGCACCTCCTGCTGCAACTGCTGCTGCTGCTGCTGCCGCTGCTGCTGCTAGTCCTCCTCTGTTGGCACTCATGGGCGGATGGTGGGTGCTGCTCATACCGGCAAAGTCGACCATTACCTCCGGTTCCAGCAGCGTCACCTGCTGCACACTGACCAACCAGATGACCAGGCAGACATTCAGGCAGATGATCAGCAGGCACAGCGATCGCTTGTCCATCCTAGCGGCTTCTTCTAATTGGATCTAACTCTATATCCGGACAGCTCAGACGGAAGCGTTTTCTGCGTGCCTTGGCCATTTAACTCCGGATCCAAGTGGCTGCAACGGTAAAGTGGTAATAATAGGTTAGTAAGTGTGACAAGAAATGAAATTAGCTTATCACTATCACAGTGATAATGGCTGGGCCATTACGGTAATTGATTGGCACGACATGTGGACAATTTCCTAAGTGACCAACCGGTTTAAACGGGTTAAGCGAAAAGCAGCCGTAGTGGCTCCTCCCTCTTCCCACTGCTCTTGGCCAAGTTCACTGAACTGACGTCATGCCATCGCAACGCACTTGCCATAATTCATTCAGCGCACACCTGATGTATTCCAAGTGATTCCGACACCGCACTGAAAATGTCCCCAAGTTCACACACGTATCCTCTCTCCCAGCCGCGCCAATTGAGACTGAACCAGCGCAAAGATAAGTTGACTTTATTGATTGATTGATGGCGATACAACTGATTAAAGACCCTACTGGTGTTGTTGGGTAATTTGGTAATAAAACGATTCCTAGAAATGTACAAAAATTTATTGACAAAAGCATCTCCATATGACTAAGCGTGGCCAACTGATTAGGACCTTATCGATACACATCAAGTGTTTAATAATTGTGGTAGTCTCTTTTTAATTCAATCACTTTTCGTGGCTATTAAATGTTCAAGTATTAAACTACATGTCACATGCGAAATAAAGATAAGAACAAATTGACATTTAGCGGAAAGATATGCCTAGCAACTTATCGAAGGGCTTTGGTGCGAATGAAAACAAGGTCAATTAACCAATTAAGTGATTTACTGGGCAGTAATCATTAAAAAAATAAAAATTGAAGAAACTATTAATGAGTTATGGAATGGTTTATAATTTCTAATTAAGTTTGTCAATCGTTGTAAGCTTCTACAAACATTTGCAAACTTCAATTGGTAAAGAAACATACTGATATGTTATCAGTTTTAGCCAATGTACTTTTTTTCTATCAGCAAAACCTTGCCCGTGTGCAAACCAATCAACAATTTATAGTATACCATAATGATTAATTGATAAATAACATACTCTTGGCAGTCCTTGTCTCGATTCATGGTTTGCCAACAGTAATATCTATATAATATTTTTAAAATGCAACCGGATGTGGCACTTATCCGTCACTAATGCGACAGACAAGCGTCAAAAACAAAAGGAGAAGTCGCAGTCACGTAGAGACTTTAAAGATATAAGGTCCTACATGAATTATATAAAATAAATATATGCGTACCTTTTTGCTATGCATATTGAATATTGTAATGATTAGCAGGCACTTGTTTGAAATCAACGCGACAGGAGAGAGTCAGAAGGTCTTACCCTGCCACATAACACCTTCAACACCTTGAACCGATGCCTTCATGGTAAAATGCAACGAATTGTATTAGGACCAAGGGGCCTTTATCAATGTTTGTCTCGATTAGATAAGCCACCGGAGTTTTTTTTTAGTTTTCGATAAGATATATTGGTTTGTTAATGACAGATGGTCTGGTTTCCGGTTTCTGTCCTGTTCCGCCCTATATTATTTGTATTTAAATATTTTATGATTGCCGACGGGAGAGAGAGAGCGTCACAAGTATAATTCCGAAGACCGAAACGGAGCGTCCAACACGAAACACTATAAACTTTTTATTTTCATGTAAATTCCCAGCCAGAGTCAATAGCATTCTATGGGCATGGTTAATGTAAAAGAACTGTACTCCGGTCTGGTTGTTAATGGTTCATGGTAACACGCAAAGCTCGTTCTGTTCCAATAAAAGCGTCTCTGTTCTAGCCAAATATAGAGGTATCGGTTTGAAGTACACTTTTTCAGGGGTGAAAAGAAGTGCATTTTCCGGATGCGACGGCCTCAAGATATGCAAAAAACTAATTACAACCGAAGCTCTGACCTTTCCTAACTGCAGAACCTGCAGACTTGGCCAAAAACGAACGAACTGTCGACAACTTCTGCTTTAGGCTTTGGGCCAGACCAAGGCCAATGTGCAATGTGCAAAATGAAGTTTGCCTGCAGGCCCGATTTCGAGGGTTGATTCACGAGTAATTGACTGCCAACGGTCACGACATTTGATGGCAGCGATTAAAGTATGTATAGGAATATTCAAAATAAGTAAAATATTTTGCTTGTTTTCTCATCTATTTAATTATTAACAAAAGAAATTGGCTTTCATGTTGTATGTTTTTTAGGAAACTGCTTTTTCATGTTACAAATTTGTTATCTAGATTGCTTGTGTCCTTGGTAAAAGTAACTATTACAATCTAGTTTCTTGAATCATATTGTAATGTAAAATAAATAACTCGTTGAGTTCTAAAGCTGACATTCTACGCAATAACTATCAATGAACTTTAATAAACTTCATAAAGGCAGGTCCCAATGACCTTTAATTAATAATTGTATTAATTATCTGTGGGTTACCCATCTCTGTTGGACCTATAAATAACCTGACCTGCACTTCGTGACACTTGTGAGCATGATAAGAATTCAATTACTCGGTGGCTTCATCAATTACTTGATTGCCCTTTGCCCTGAAGCATGGGTACTTTATATTCCTGCAAGATGTATAATAATTGCTTACAAAAAGGCAGACGGGTTCTGGTAAAATTAATTAAGCTAAGCAGACATTTTCCTAGAGCTTGAACTAGTTGAAAACATATGCTTTTTTATACTTTATGCTAAAATAATACTGTACAATCTTTATTATTATTGATTGATTGGCACTCATTTTGTTGTATGATTTAAAAATTATAGACTTGACCTAGAAAATGGTAACATATTTGGTTAGTAATACCTTCCGATTGGCTGGCAAATATTTGCTTACGATATGAAATTACAATTAGTAAACACTCCCAGAGGGAGAGCCGATGATGATGGTTACCCATGGTGCCTTGTCTGTGCAAACATTCCCCCGATGCCTCACCTTTGCGGCCATTACTGTGTGTTCACACCTCTCTCCTGAACTCTACGAAAATCAGCCTAGACTTCGCCTATATATAATATATATGTATATAAAGAATATTGGGGGGATTGGGTGCTGGGGGATGGGATAGGCTGGTTGCCAACGATGGCATTTTGCAGTCGATAAAATGCCAACAGCAATGCCGAACAACTTTTTCAAGTCGAAGGTTAAATTTTATCGTGGTCTGAATGGGCTACAAAACATCGACAGCTCTGGGCTGGCTATTCTTCTATTGTTTATCGGGTCTATCTGGGCTTTGATTAGTTGCAGGCCGCCGCCAGAGGAGGAATTGTTTTCATTTCATTCAGAATGGCAGCCGGTTGGCACGGCGAAAACTTGGCTGCTGCCCAAAAACACTTTCTGAATGCCTGTCATGTTGTCTCTCACTCGGCCAGCAGCAGACAATGCAACGAGAAAGCCAACTTTCCCGTGCACTCCTGATATCCGAGAGGGCCTTGTGGTAATTGCCATCAATTCGGGCAGGAATCAGGCTGCAATATTTATACACAGTACTCTGTGGGAAATATGTAAATTTAGTTACATTTCGATGGTGGTGAAAGGGTAATAGTCATAGTCGTAATAGTTTTAAGACTGGTTTTTACATGGGTTTAAATCACTCAAGGATTTTCAGGCACTCCAAGTAAATTGTATGCCACTATTTATACTAAGATAATTCTTGACAAGTCAAGAGCTAGGCAAACAAATAAATACTATTGTACACCTTTAAACACCTCAAACTTATTTCAAGGCAGCACTTAAATACTGCTCGTAATTAGCAACAAAGCGAATCGCTCTACACTCAATAACAAGCAACTTGAAAACAAACAACCAGCTATGAACATGAGTGCAGAAAATTGCAATTCCAATTTCCAGTCAATGAGGCAGTTGGTTTAGGAATTACATGTAAGTACATCATTTAAGAGTTGTTTAATCGAAAGTGTGGAAATAGGTTGTTTTTTTTAGGTAGAGCAACTTTAAGAATGGGTTTTTATAATCACTACAATAACACAGTTTTAGTTGGTGACTAACAAACTGGTTTGTGACGTTAAGTAAGTGCAACTTGAAATAGCATTTAATTTATTTCGCAAGAAACTGTATAGGTAAGTTATAAATAAATGATCTATTATTTGTACTTCCCCATTTAAAAATTAATTAATCTTAAGGTAGTGGAATTTTTTTTTAGTTTACTTGACTTTAATAGTACTTTTGCTAGCAAATAAATATGTATTTAAAGGCTTAAATTGTGGTTTTAAGGAGCTTAGTTCTAACTATCTTTGTATAGTACTATTTCTAATTGGTTTTGTCAGTAATTGTCACTACTTGTGACAGTTAAATATGAAAAAAATGCTAGAAAAGTCATTAACATTATTATCTTTTTTCTTGGGGGAAGAGATTAACTAGAGTTTTTGAGGTTTTATGTCACTAGACAACCATAAGTTGAGTTGTAAAGTTAAATCTCCAACAAAAGTTATAATATCCCACCATATTCTTTAATGACTTTAAATTGTAGTCTTAAACAGATTTACTTTTTGTATTCCTAGTAATTCATTCTGTGAGTAGTAGCTACTTTAAATAAACAATTTATAAAAACAGCAAACAAAGTTCATTTGCATATGGGAAAACGTTTTCTAATTGCTTGAAAATGTTCTCAGTTTGATAATAGCCCCGCATTGTTTATGCTTCGAAATTAAACAGATTCCAGGGGAACCTGAAGCCTGGCATGTCCGCAGCTGGAGATCATAGTATATGTTAGATATATGTCACTGTAATCCGATGGCATCTCAAGAGCCCGGAGAGCGTTGCATTCGCCACTTGGCATCCTGTCGCCGCCATCAAAAGGGAGTCAAGTGAAGAGAGCTCAAGCATTCAGCATTAGGCCCCCGCCGTTGGGGTAGACAAATGTCCCTCACATGTTGATATCTGGCAAATGCAGCCATCCCTACTATGTATATGTTTACTTACATATATTTACACAAGTATGTGGGCTGCAACACAGTGCTATGCTCACACATGCCACAAGGCAGACACACACTGCAAACAAATCACACACTCATGTCAGGGTCATTATCAAGAGATTTATATGTTTAAGGTAAGGGAAAACCTTAATACTGGATATGATGAATCCATTCCAGATGCTTGTTTTCTAAACTCTATAACAAAACCTTTTTTAAACATTTTCCTGAGTGCATTCCAGCTGAGAGCCTCGGAAAAACTCGCCCTGTCCCACATGTCGAAAAATGTGAGTCAACGGAGCTGGCAGCGGCTTGAAGGAGTTCCGCAGACTAGCAAAAAAAGATATATACATATTTTTATGTTATATAGGAGAAGGGTAAAACCCAGACGAGTTTTATGCTGCCAACATGCCGCAATTACTACATGCTCGGCCAACAGCCAGGGGGAGTTTCCTGTACTGTTCCTGTGGGCAAACTTTTCCCATTTTCATTTCCATTTCCATCGCTCTCTCTCTCACGTGGCCAACAAATTGCGGGGCAATGCTAAATAACGATGCCAGACAGATATTTAAGCGAATGTGGGTGCAACGTGCATGCAATTGCAATTCAAG